GAGTTTGAGGATCAAATAACTCAGAGACCTTTTTTCTAAAAATGCAAATAGTCAATTGAATTTGCGAAAATACCACTTACTTGTTCATAATTTACAAAAAAGACCAATACTCCTTGCTTTCTTTTAAAAACCCCACTTTTTTTTTTTGAGAAATAGAAAAACCCCACTGTTTTATATCTCTCTTTTGAATATTTTTTTTTCTTTCATTCAAATATGGTATTGTGAAAACGGTATTTTTAAAAAATAAGCCATCAAAAATGGTATTTGGTAATTTGTCCCGGTAACGAACATCATTCAAATATAGGAATGCACAAATTAATAATTAGTAATAAACATAATTTGATATGAAGAAATTCGTTTTAGATTTTAAACCAACATGAATGGTACTGCTATATACATATTGCCCTCTTCCCTAACATTATAAATAAATAGGGGATTCCCTTCATTCTACTGTTAATTACAAATAGTTTGGCTTCAAATAGTACAAATTTAAATTATATGTTAATAAACAGCCCTACATCTCTAGAGTGAAGATGCGAGGTTTGTTTGTGGATCATGATCAATCATGAACTCAATTACTAGACTAAAGAGTTCATGAGAGTTGAGATACATCCATCAGATGCTATCGTTATTTTTCACGTCAACAATTATTTTCAGTTAGTAATTTTCTTTTACGAAAGCCTAAAGAGTTCAATCATTTCCGAGACAAGATAATGGACATACTTACGTAGAACTTGCATTATTCTACCAGAAGATGGACCTATCTATTTGAAGAGTCAAAGAATCTCGAGATACAGAAGATAGAATAAGGAAATTTTATATTTAGATATTATACGATCTTGTTTTGATTTGTTTGTTTTAAAAAAACTCTTCCTCGTATTTCTTTCTTCTATCATGTTCTAATATACCACTATTTTGAACAAAACATAATGCATTCTAATTATTTGTTCTTTTATAAATTACATGCACGTAATCGATGCAAAATTTTAAAATCAAAATCTACAGTAGATGAGAGGCATCAATCACGTAACACATTTGCTTCGCAATATAATAAGGACTATTAAATTTATTGATAATTTGATATATTCAATACGCTTCACATGGTGTTTAAAATAATTATTGCTGAATCCTTGTCATTGGGGTTGGACAGACACATTTTTGTCGTATCTACATGTGCCCCTTTCCAAAAACCAAAAACAATAATATCAGTTGGTCAACTAACTCATCTCTGATTAATTAGAGTTTTTTTTTTTTAGAAAATTCATAGAATTAGTAGAATTTTTTTTTTTTAATAAAATTTGATCTAATTGTCGCAGGTTTTACTTAGGCACTAACTGGTAACGTAATAGGTTATTAGGCCATGTTACCATTTAGAATGGCCTAATTCTTTACAATTAGGCCATTAAGCCATGCTATCAGTTATTTTTTTTTTTAAGTGGATGAATTTTGATGTGAATAATTAGGCATATCAAACGGGCTAGTTCGGCCCGACCCGACCCAAAACCCGTAAAACCTACATATATATAAGCCCAACCCAGCTCGGCCCAAAAAATAGTTGGATTCTTATTCGGACACGCACAAAAGACTGTTGGACGCAAATTTAAAGAATGTCTAAAAGCATGCACAAAACTATCTGCTAGATGACTAAGAAGACAATCACCGGAGCAACTTCGTCAAGTACCTCGAGG